GTCGAGTTTTCCCGTAACGATATGGGTTAGTCTTACAATGCCATTTCATTTCCTTTTGCTCATCCCATCTACAATTGAGAAATAACAGATTGCCTCTAAGGCTATTCACATCAAAATGCAAGTTTGTCTATTTATATGATGAAGGCAAAATCAAATAATCACTAAAATACATTTATATAGTTTCATATTTTATTTATCTATATATCGTGTATATTATTTTTATCTAGTGTATTATTATTACTTATTATGTCTTTAACTTAGAATAATAATTATTTATTTATATTATATTATATTTTCATTTTTGTTAGCTTGAAGCTTTTATAAGAATGAGATCTATGTCTGAGGATGATCAGTAGATTGTTGTAACATACCAACTGCCCCAACCGATATGTGGACGGGGTCAATCTGAGCAAATGCAGAGCAACGAGATGTAGACAAGTTCTTCTGTTCAGATCAGCCAAGCCCTGATTTTAGCACGAAATGTAGTCATCATAACAATTTAGTTTCGAGGTCCACGTCGAAGCTCAGTTACATTTTGTCCAATTGATGTGCCAACTGACACTTGGGCAAATATTCTTGGTACAGAGTTTGAGTGAATAGGAATTCGAGACTACCAAAAATTAGGTAATGCTGTTGGTTGCTATGGCAAATACAACTTTGCTTCATAGAAAATCCACCCACAGAATGTGAAATGAGAAAATGCCGGGCCTTCATTGAAATTCATACCTGTCCTGTGACCCAACGGTTCCTTGCAGGCTAGACTCCGTTTTATACTTGGCCCGAAATACAACAAACACATGCACACCCACACATACGCATAGTAGAAGTCCCACCGGCAGAGGTCGTCGTGACAGCCTTTCTCAAACCCACTTCGGAGAGGTTCGATGCAGTTCCCTTTTCCGGTGGACACGCTGTCGCATTAAGTGTCCGGTCCTCATTTCCCCCAAACAGGCAGTTGTGTCTGTTGTGTTTTTCTGACATTTGTTTTTCGTTTCTTTTGCTTTTGCAGGACCCGTGCCCGATCCTTTGAGTGGTCATTGCGGAAGGCGGCCGGAAGACACCTCCACGGTCCGCAAAGTGTACGGCGGGGAGCCCGTGAAGCCGCATTCCTGGCCCTGGCATGTAAGGAAAATCACGAAATGCTGATAAGAAGAGAGACTGGCTTTCGATAAATCTGATGAGATAACATTTCATTTCGTATGAAAGTGCATGTAGAAGAGGTTGGTAGTTGTTGAGCTTACTTCCATTTCGAGTGAAAGTGTTGACAGTGAAGAGATTCGAAGCTTGGTTGCAGCAGAAGACGACGGCCGATTCCTCTTGACTCGAACATTCATGCTGACGCTGTTGTCAAGGCAACCTCCGTCGATTTGGGTGAAAAGGTGCTAAGCTTTCGTGCGTCATGTGACGAACATCATCATCGTCACAACAAAATTCAAGATAATGAGTTTTCTTGACTCGCTAACTTGAATTTGTTTGTAAGAATGATACCTTACTATGACGGACGAAAGCTTAGCACCTTTTCACCCAAATCGAAGGAGGTTGCCTTGACAACAGCGTCAGCATGAATGTTCTAGTAAATCCAATCGACAGCTTGTCAAGAGGAATGCACCGTCGTCTTCTGGTGGAACCGAACTTCGAATCTCTCCACGCAACACTTCCACTCGAAATGGGAGTAAGTTCAACAATTATGAAAGAAGAGATGCCTCGAAACCCAACTTTTCTTCGCAGAGATTGGTAGGTCGATCTCACGAGAAGTGGACGGATGAATCGCGTTCAGGTTGACGCAGTCCCTCGTTTCGGGTGAAAACGGGCTCGGCTCTCATCCATCAAATGATGTACATCATCAGAACTGGGAGTCATTCTTGTAAAAGTGTCACGTTAACAGCACCAGGTCAAGAAGACTAAAACTAAACTAAATAGACATAGATGGATATACAATGGTTTGGCTAACTATCTTCATACTTTTGAGATGGTGATTTGTATGCAGATGAGGTTACGAAACCACCTGTCCTGACCTCTCAGTCTAGGGTCACTAAGGCTTAACCACACATGAAAAGGCGGGACTGTAGTTGCATGATCTCGTGGGTCTGGTTTGGTTGATGAAACTAATCTAACATGTCGGATGAGCGTGAGTGAGGCTAGAAACATCACTGAGTCGTCTTATTTTGGATGGCGGCTCAACAGCCTCTTTCTCTTTCAATATGTCTATCAAGCATAAGTAGTTCCTATTCAACTTTCTACCTTCGTTCCTCACATTCAACGTATTTCCTAAGCTGTTATTTTCAATAGCATCTCTTATCTCTATTTTAACCATAGACGTACCATAATCAGCAAACCTACTAGTTTGAGACCATTCTATTTCATGTCCAATTTCGACTCATTTGAGAGTATTCTATATCACTTTTAGTTTATACTAATTTAAAAGCATTATATTTCATCCCCAGTTTCTACTAATTTGAGAGCATTCTATTTAATTTTCAGTTTCTACTAATTTAAGAGCATTCTATTTCATTTCCAGTTTCTATTAATTTGAGAGTATTCTAATTCATTTCCAGTTTCTACTAATTTGATAGCATTCTATTTTAATTTCTACTAATTTGAGAGCATTTTATCT